CCACTATATATAAATATATCTAATCAACTAGTCTGATTGTGTATATAGTAGAATTAGTTTGTTTGGATTTATTGAATGTAAATTACTGAATTTCAGTATTATGTATGACTGTTTGTGAATCGAAATATATTTTCTTTGATAAATTTTCTTAGTTTTTAGGATGGTTGGTGGTAGCTAGGGCAGTACACCGACGTGACAATGGTGGAGGTGGTTGTTTGGTTGACACAGGAGAGAAGGTAGTTTGGGTGAGAGGAGAAGAGAATGGGTGAATTTGGATCTATAATTTAAAATTTAAAGCCAAAATGTAATTTTTTAACTTTTTATGTTTAAATGTGACGGTAGGGGATAAACTGATAACGATTTAAATAGGTGAGAGGGTAAATTAACAATATAAAAAATTCAAGTGTGAAATTGATCAGATGAAGGAAAAATGAAATTTCCTGTAATTAATTTTATTGCACTTATACTAATAATAGTTACATAGTCGTGAGATCAAATATGAATTTTACATATATAGTACAAAACATCTAAACATTTATCATACAAGTTTTCAGTAAAGAAATTTTGCATACATTAATGATATATAACAATGGACAATCAAGGGGTATCAGAATTTACTGCTCATTTTTCTTTGTTTGACACGGACTCTGGAAGTTTAAAGGTGGGAGGTTTATCAACACCCCTTCTCGAGTGCTCTCTCCATCTTCAAGATGCTGCAGCTGCTCTTCGTGCTCTCTCCTTCGCTTCCTCCTGTACAACCACTATTATATAAAGCTTTAGTTAAAATTTTAAACTAAAAAGTGTCGGCTACATTTTGAGACAATTTCTGCCGTGTATATGATTTATACTGATGCAGAAACCATTCAACCATTACAGAAGCCAACAAAGTAATGAGCCACCAAGGAGCGAAAATTTATATATATTCTACTGAATGTACTAGGGTAGCACGTATAAAATTTCAATTTTGTTTTAGTATTTGCAATGAACACTATAGATTCAAGTGCTTTGAGTTCTAGCCTCTTTGGATCTTTACAAATGCTAAAACTGGACAATACTATGTATGGCATCATACAAAATTTTCCAGTGCTTCTCCAAATAAATTAAGCAGCATGGACATGGGACACAGATTCTCAAAAAATTATAATACGGATGCGGCAAGACACTTATTTTTATTTACTATTTATATTAATAGACATTAAGAACACATAGATATGAAAGGCATCGATGCATATATGGATATATTTTATTTCGACAACAAATCAGCTTTCTAAAAAAAAAAAAAAAAAAACACAACCCTATAAGAGTGTTTGGCCTGGCCTGTCCATGAAGTGTCCTTAACACGTTCTACAAAAATAATAGTAATAATAATAATTTTAAAAATTGAACACCACAAGGCATGTCGAACACATGGACTCGTGTGTTCCCGCACAACATCCATCTTGGTGTGGTGCTTCTCAGCAAATATACCATACACTTGAAAGCATTAACCTTGTGTTCCTTGCTACTATATAGACTAAACTTGGCCAAATTCAGGTCTAAACCCTTTAAACCTCAGCTCCTACCTTTTCACTCAAAACACCCTAACAAGTAAAACCCTTTCCCACGATTTTATAGGGGGGCTTTCATTAGGCTCCATCCTTCAACAAGTAGGGCTGCTTCCCAAAGTACACACAACGTTATTTTGGACAGCATTTTACCAAATGGAAAGAAATAATAAATTTCCGTGGAAAGGTCAATGCAAGTGTGCATATGCCGGATTATTTTACCACATTCTACAACTTTAGGAACAAACACATGCCAACAATGTATGTTCAATCGAGCTAAAGAATTCTTGGAAACATATGAGAGAAACAATAGAGCAGATATTTGCACTTGACAAAATATTTGTATCAGAATAATAGAAGTAGACTGCTTTCCATGATTTTAAACATCAAAATCAGCAATTTTCTCTATTGAATCCTTGTTACCTGTATTTTGATAGTCTCTGGGCTTACCCCAGAGGTTGCTCCAATATGATTCAGTTTGATCAGAACCTTTCTGCTTCATCATCCTCACTTTAGCTTTTGCCTGGACAAAATATATCTAAGCCGTTCGTCAAACCTAACACTGATTTGATTTATAATAACAAAATCAATGAACATAACAAATATACCTGCCCGGTGAAAACAAATATGAGCAGCATTAAAAGATGAAACTTGATGCAGACAATATCCAAGGTCAAAACATAAAGAAAATCATAGGTTTAATGTATATCTCCACTGGAATGCCATCATTCTCTTGCCATTCCATGTTTGTGGCTTATTTAGGAAACATTTGCTTCATTAATACACATAATAATTGCCAGGTGAAATTGTAAGCAATGCAGTTTAAAAATGCATTGCTAATAATGAATAAATAAGATTACAAGAAACGCTTTTATAAAATCAAAAAAAGTATAGAGATGAAAAATATTGAGACACCAAATAATAGCTGAAATCCAATACAGAAGAACCCACAAAAACACACAAAGAAAATGCAGAAAAAGGAAAAAATATCAGAGTTCTTACCAACATTTTAGCTTGTCTCTTTTCCCATCGAGAGGTTGCCTGCCACATTGGAGTAATTTGATGAAAAATAATAATCAAATACATTAATACTGAAAAGATTAAAGTACGCTAGCAGTTTAATTATCTCTATCAGAGATCTTCCTAAGAGACAAGGTCTGCTGCTAGAAAACTTTTCAAGGTTTTCCATGATTTTGCCTATTGATGACAGCAATAAGTATTAAATGCGGCACCGCCATAAAATAACTACTGACTAAAGAGCTGCAAATATCAAACTATCCATTCCTTGTACCACAACCTCTTTGAAATGCCACCTGAAGAACTTCGTAACCGATTAAAGAACCAGCGTTTGTAAATAGATGAAGGAATTTGTGGGCATAATTTGACACTTTATTTAATAAAAGAAAGTTGCCAACAGGAAAATAATTAAATTCCATCCAATCCTATCAAAATCTCAAAAGGTGTTAATAACACAAGACATTGTGCCTGAATACCTGCAATCAAGTTCACTAAACCACACAAGGCACAAAAGCAGCATAAATATTTTAGGTTCTTTAAATAGATATCAACTTTGTTTTTACAAAGTAATTCAATTTCATAAATGAATCAAAAGTTTGAGCACTACTACATTTCAGGAGATTTTCAGGGACAATGAGGCATGGTCAAACCATTCAACTAAACTATGTTCTGATCAATTAAATGAATAATAGTCTCCAAGATGGCAACATTAATTCCCACACAAAAGTCCCATATCGCCCGATTACTATTAAGCATATAAGCGTGAAGGCACCCTCACCCCAATAGCTAGCTTTTGAGTTGAGTTCTACCCATGACCGTGTAACATGGTATCAAAGCTAGAGTACTCAGGTATGGGTAGGGTGTGTGTCCCTGGTCTGCACATCGCAAGTGCTACCGAGTGAGCATGCTGGGTGTGAGGGAGGGTGTGAAGCAAAGTCCCACATTACTAAAGTAACATTAAACATATAAGCGTGAGCGCACCCTTACCTCAATAGCTAGCTTTGGAGTTGAGTTTTACGCAAGACAGTGTAACAGGCAGGCCATCACTCAGTTTATCCCTAGAGGAATTGTACAATGAACAATTAAGAATTGAGGTCTTACCATTCTAAAAACATCCATCGAAGAAGATCCCATTCCTGAAAGCATCAGTGCAACCTGATTGTCATTAATGAAAACCGTCAATTTTTAACTATTTTAGTTTTTACTTTTAATGAACTTGACAAATGAACAAAGTTATCACACACAATACTAAGGCATATTTTTAATGTGAGATGAAGATTTTCTTCCTTTTTTTTTTAAAAGTAACTGACAATGTCATATATTAGAAGATAAGTTTTGAAAGATTATTTGGTCTCTTCAAGGTGTCCTGATGAATTCATCTCTACAGTAGAATATCAAACAAGAAAAACTAGTCTCTAATATCAAAAGATGTAACCAAGGTTCTGAAAAGCGGTTGCGGTCGCCGTAACGGTGGCGGTGACACGGTTGCGGTTGCGGGGTGTAAAGGCCGTAGTGTAACGGTTGCGGTAATCGGAACCGTGAATTTTTTTATTTTTTGCACAATTTGAAAAAAACTTACCGATACACATTTTTTTTTTCCATAATCATATTTATTGGGTTAAAAATAAATATTGATCAATTTTTATAAATTTTTAAGTATGATCCAATATATTTCATATTTTTAAATCACTATAAACTGAGTTTTTTACATTTTATTTTAATAATTAATGACTTTATATTTTACAAAAAATCAATCACTAATTATTATATATAAGATAAATAATGACAAAAGTAAAAGAATAAATAAGAGCCTAAATATATATATATATACATATTTTAACCAAACCAAATAGATAATAACCACACTTATTATTATTATTATTTTCAAATAATATATAGATAGACACACACAAACAAAATGGTTTAGTGATAGCAGCTGAATAAAATAGCATACATCTTATAGTTTCAACAAATCAATAATATGTTCTTCATCTTCCCTCTTCTTTCTCTCTCTATCTCTTGTTCCTCTATTTTCTCTCTTTATCTTCCCTCTTCTCTCTATCTCTCTTCTCCCATTTTCAGTTTTTTTTTTTTGTGTTTTTTTGAAAGAAACAGTTTGGAACCGTTACGTAACGGTGCATAACAGGCCGTTACGGCTGTTACGGCACCGTTACGGCTGTTACGGCACCGTTACGACCGCTACAGCAGCCGCTACGGCCGACGCACCTGTGAATCTCAATCACACTGCAAAAGCGGCCGTAACGGGTGGCGGTAACCGCCAAAACCGTTACGTAACGGCGTTACGTAACGGTTGCGGCCGCTTTTTAAAACCTTGGATGTAACTCATAAAAGAAATTATGAATTCTATGTTAAGAAACCAGTAAAACCCAAATAATATCATGTCTAAAATGCAAGTCATACCCAGATATTCGGATTTTGGGGTGAGCCTGAGCCCATTTTGAAAATGATATTAAATCCCTTGGATCTGCAATAAATATAATATTTAAACTTGAAAATAGACAACAGCGAGCCACAAAGTCACAAATTCTGTAAACTATAAAGAGATTCAACATTGTGATATCAGACACACATAAATTATTGTAAAATAAACTGCGAAGCAATGAAACTTTAAGCCTGTGCCTTACATTTACTCTTTCTACCCTCCGCATTTCATCTTCAAGCAAAGATAGTCGTGCAGCAAAAGTCCAATGGATGCAATCAACTGGGCTGAAATGAAAAAGAAGTAACTATCTAAAGACATCCACTGCACTAACTTTTTAACATGTGGCAAAAATTCTATGATTACTGATTATTCAGATCTCATCAAGAAACCATAAACCAGCTAATGTACTAGGTTTCAGGAGCTAAAATATCAAGAGGTCTTGCCAAAACCAAAGTCCAGGTAGGTTCATCTGGCACCTCCTTCACATTAGTTCGAAACTTAGTTAGAGTTGTCCAAAAGTGACACCATCCATTAAAATATTCACATATAAAGTGTTAACGACAAAGATCACTGGGTTTTCCCTTACCTTAAATTAGCTAATATATGTACTATAAATGCAGGGAGGTTGATCATTCTTACAAGTTAATGTAAATTCTATAGAACAATTACACAACAATTGTAAATCATGAAGAGCAGACTCAAAAAAAGATAACCACCAACTCTCCAAGATTCTTTGGTCTATTTGTTAAAGGGTGTTTGAATGTTAAGAGAAATGTGTAAAAGAAAAATAAGTATATTACCTAAAGATAATTGGCAAAATACAGAGAAAAAAGTAAGATAGAAATATCAGATTCATTCCTCGAACACTAAAAAAATAAAAAATAAAAATGCTTCAAAAATGACATCTTGTTAAAATAACAATGCTTTGTGTCTCTAATCTGTGTCACTAAATGACAAATAAAAGTAACAACTTAAGAGCTATACAATAGTGCAAAAAGGGTTTGATTCATTTTTTGTCAGACTAGATAAAGTTGATACTCGATGATTGAAGTAAAATGCCTGCAACTTTTTCACTTTCTGACAGTACGCCTGAGCAAACCATAATTAGTGCATCACAGCCATAACCATTGATCAGGAACTTACCAACTATCTATTGCTTGTTGAACTAATTCAGGTTTCCCACACTGACTATATGCTCTGGCTCTTCCAAAATCTTCCTCAATGCCAAATACATCTGGGGCTACATTGGCACAATTTTCACTACCTGTGGACAAAAAATTGTTATATTGTACTTCCAAAGGTATCATAACTCATAGATTGCTACAGAGGATGACACTAACACGGCTATATATCAAGAGTAAGTAGAATCCCTCCAGCCTTGTTTCTACACTCCAACAAAATTAAATAAAGATCTGAAAATAGCATTCACCAGACGAGGAATAATGTCTTAACCACTCCCAAATGAAAAATTAAGTAATAGAAATCTCATAAGCATTAAGGAAAAGGCTTTTGTGTTAGTTACAGTGTCATTTATCTTCACAGAGGAGATCATTTTCAAACAATTTTCATATTAGGTAGTTAAATAATGCTGAAACCAGAAACGCTAATGTCAGATTTCAAATGTTACAGGGGAATCTGTGTTAAACATAAACGTCAAGGGGTGTCAGTGTAATTTACCCATATATATATATATATATAAGCAATGCGTAATTAGGTAAAGAACTACATTTACTTTTTGGCATAATTGTATAAAGTGGTTGCCTTCAAAGTTCAAACCCATAACCTCAATAAGAGTAAAATAAATAAATGGGCCCATAATAATTAAAATTTCATAATCTTCTCGTAGAGAATTCCTATTCAAACAAAACACTTGAATAACATCGACATGTGATTTCATTGTTAGTAATGTTATCCAAACATAACCTAAAGTTTAGCATTGAAGAAAAATTGTTGGTTGAGAAATGGGAAATTCTCATTAACAATGAGACAAATAAAAAGGACAAATATATATTGTAGTCCTTAAAGTATGTTTACTATGTTACTTTAGTCCTTCAAATTTCAATTTTGCCTTCATTTATAAAATTTTCAATCTAAGTCAAATTGGTCTAATTTCAAACGGTCCTCTAAATAATTAACCGAATAATTATAAAACACACATATTTCCCCTAAAGTATGCATTATGTGTCATTTTGGTCCCAAATTTCAATTTTATTAGTTTCACCGCTAAACACTATAAGACCATGCTTCATCTTCATCATATATATTATATGCTTAGGGACCAAAGGGACAAAACTAAAAATTGAAGAAAAAGCTGATACGGAGTGCACATATTTTAGAAAACAACAAGTATAGTTTACTACTATTGTGTAAACGAATTAGACAGTACATTTGAAATTAGACCAATTTTGACTCATTTGAAATGGGTCATGTCTATTCTAATTTTATTTTCTAATTTGCAGTGGGAGTGTGAGTTGATGACATTTTTATTTGGAGTAAACTGTAACTGAGTTATAAGAGATACTTACCTAAGCCTTTTGCTGTTGAGGTTAAGGAGGTCCTCTTGATCATCAATTCCAGGACTTCCACTGGATCCTGCTGCTGCGTCGTAGTCATTGTCATTAAGGTCGTCTCGTCTTCTCTTTGATGTAGTAGCACTACTAGCACCTTGTACTCCTGCAGATCTGTCCAAGTCTCCATGGAACACACCCATGTTGTTATCTTCAGAGTTGTGTATGCTCAATGCTTGTTGTTTGGCTTCCTTGTATACTAAACGGACACCGAACTTTTCAACCTCAACAAAATTCTTCCCTGCCCATCCATTTTCCCCAAAGCAATATCTTTCAGCTGCTTTCAAAGCCAGTTGATATTCTCCTGATGAAGAATTCCGACAGACTCCAAATAAACAAGCTTGAAATTCAATTCCATCCTCATTTAATTGCTCCATATCAGCTTCCACGTTTCTCAGAAATTCACTGCGTGAGACATACCTAACTGGCAAATTTCCAAAATCCACAGCTGGAAGACTTGTGATTTGACGTTTAGAACATTTTGTGATTATCCTCTGAGTACCAAGCCTCTTAAACCTCATAGCAATAAGCAAAGGCTTATATTTATTGCTGATTCCAACAGCAGCGAAAGCAAATCCCAAGAAGCTGCTGTTAAACCAATGTGGAGGCAACTGAAAAGATATCCAACACCCCCTACTTTGATGGCTGAACCACTTTGGAATCTCTCTCCCAGGTAAAACAATGCTAAAACAATTCCTTCCACAAGAATTTCTCTGAACAATAGAGATTGGTCACAACACAATCAGTGGCTGGTGGCTCCAAATTTTAGTTAAAGTAAACTTCCAAAATCTTAAATTATAATTCGTATAAAAAAAAAAATCACATTTATCTATATCTATCATTCACTCTCCTAAATCTCTTATTTTAAAATTGTGTTTGGCTTTTCTCATGTTCACATCATAATATGATAGAACTTGAGAGGTCATGGGACCCACCACAGGTCTCATTTCGATAACACGAACCGTTCATTTTGTAGAGCCTTCAATGTATATTATCTATGAAAAAATTTAGTTCGATCCGATAATTGTAACATTTTCATTTTATCATCTTTGTCTCCGAAAAAATGGACGATATCTTCACTTTCTTCGCACTTTCTTTTTTAAGTCCATATCTTGAGTATTCAAAATATACAAACTCTCTCTTTTTTTATTGCAAATCGCAATACGTAATACATTGTAAATCCAATAATAAGTCATCAAATAAAGTATATCAGAGTACAAAATAAATCTCAAAAGGGATAAAAAGAGCCATCCCACAAGGAGGATAAGAATCTCCACGTAGGGAAAAAAAAAAAACTTCCACGTAGGAAGGATAAAGTCTCCATGAAGGGAGGAAATCTCTACGTAGAGATATTATTGTAAATTAAAATATTAAAATACTAACATCAAAATAAAGTAACTTTTTTATGATATGTTTGGTATAATTTTTTTTTTTATTTTATTATTAACTTTAACAAATAAATAAGTTACAAAATTGTTTGGTATAACTTTTGATAATTTGTGAAAAAAATGAATATGTTTTATTAAATAAGTTGTCACATGTTTTTTTGTTGTGCAAATATTCAGAATATGTTTAAAAGTTATCATTACAACAAAAAGATGAGCCTCTCTTGTCGGTATGCATTTATTGGTTTTAAATAAACTTAAAAAGTTTCAAATTGTAACTAAAAAAAAAACATTATTAATCTGGCCAAATGAATTGAAAAAATCAAATAGGTCATAAATTCATAATCTAAAATTGCAACCAAACACCTTTAATTATTTATTTATTTTTAAGCAAATAAGTTATATCAAATGTTTATTGTGATTGGCCTAAATAGTGAGATCTACATATTCATATAGTGTCCAGGAGGTAACAATGGATAATTACTCGGTAGTTTTGAAATACCATGTGATATGTAATGTGGCAAATCAATCACGTGGTCAAAAGTTTTTATGAGTGAGACATACTAACTCAACTTTATTAGGTAATTAAAAAAGAAAAGATGACTAAATTTATATGTTATAATTTCTCATATATTAAAAATATCACATAAATAAAATCACATAATATTACATGAGTATAAAAAGAACATTGAAAAAATTACAAATTAGTGGCATTTTTTCATAATAATTATAGATTCCTCATGAAAAAATTTATGACTTTAATTATTAAAATTTGTAAAATTTATTATGAATCTATAATTATTTTTTAAAAGTACGACTAATTTCTTATTTCTCCAAAACAATTCAAAAAAAAAAAAAAACAGAGAGAGACAACTATTTGTGATTGGTGCAAGATTTTTTTTTTAATTATAAAATAACTGAAGTAGTACTCTGTTGTCTCTAGCCATGAGCCAGCAGAACACTTGTCTACAAAAAATCTTAAATAGGACTTGAACTATCATAACATTTGCAAATAGGATTTTTAGGTAATTAACTCTAAAAAAAAATCTGGGTTTTAATTAGCTAAAGAGTACACAGTGCCAGAGAGAGAGAACCTGAAATTGATTTAAAAGAAAATTTTCTATCCGGATGTTGTTTTGCTTATTCTCAATCAGTTTGAAGCAATTCTTGAAGGAAAGTATGGCAAACTTATTGCATTTGGATGAACTCCGTATTGTTCTTAATGATGGGCAATCATTAGCACGTAGGTCCCTTATTTCAGATGAAATCTCTGGCAATTCTTGAAGCTTCTTGCAACCATTCAAATACAAGCCCGACAGCCTTGAGAGTTGATTCATGCTTGCAGGTAAACTTTCCATATTGTTTCCACTTAGATATAAATGTCTCAATGAGTAGATGTGACAAATGGCTGTGGGGATAGATTTTAAATTACAGTAACTGAGATCCAGTTTCCATAAAGACTCTAACCCTGACAAAGCTACTAGTTCCAAAGCACTGGAATTCTCTCTCTCTCTTCGTAAAATGGAAGGCAATAATAAAGAACTCCATGAATTAGATGCCATTCCTTTACACCCTTGTAAGGATAGTATTCTAAGCTTCTTCAGAAGTCCAATGGAGGATGGGAGTTGCCTAATTGCAGTCCAATCTGCACGAAGCACTTTCAAACAGTCCAGATCACCCACATCTTGCGGTAGTTTGTCAAGTTTGGAGCAACCAGAGAGGTTTAAATCTTCAAGAGCTTTCAACTGACAAATGCTGTCCGGAATACTTCTCAAGTTTTTACAATTTCTCAGACTAATAAAACCAAGGTTGGTAAGATGTCTAACTGAAGGTGGAAGTTCACTGATACCAGTCCCATCTAAACGAAGCTTTGATAAACATCTCATATATCCCATGCTGACTGAAATGTTGTCAAGCTTTGAGCACCCAGAGACAATAAAAACTTCAAGATATTCCAATTGAATGCCACGTGGAAGACTCTTGAGATTTTTGCAGTCCTTCAAGTTCAAACAAATAAGCCTTCTGACAACTACAATGGATGGATGAAGATTAACCAAACTTGTACAGCCTTCAAGAATCAGTCTTTCAAGATTTGGGACCCCTGTGAAGTCTGGGCTCTTCGTTAGGTATGTCGAGTGACTAAGATTCATGATTCTTAACTTGTCTAAATGCTGTTGAACAAAAATAAAAATAAAAATTACGGATATTATATTGTGTCAAGGACTTTACACCTTATTCAAAGTAATTAAAGAAAATGCATATCCATACCATTGTTCCCTCCCAAAGTTGTTCAATGCTGCTATAGGTTAAGTGAAGTTCAACAAGATGCTTTGGTTGAAATGTTGAAGGCATGAATTTCATAGGGTACCCTAACCAATCAATATATCTTAACTTGTTAGAAAGATATTTGAGGTCTCCTGAGAGATGCATACAACAAATTTTGAGAATCCTCAAGTTCGACATCTTTGCAAAAGCTTTAGGCCTCAACTTCAATTGTTTTAGAAACCGAAAGTCCTTTGAATCTAGACCACTTGGGTCAGGATATTGTACAACTATGCCTTCCACTTTTTTTGTTCCCTAATAACCACAAGAAAACAAGAAGGAAAAAATATTAAAAGGCTGAAAAATCATGCAGAGCTAGCTTTTATTAATTAAACAAGTTTTGAGTGTTCATGCTTTTTCTATAAGACCTCTTACCGTATTGTCCATGAGTACATGTTTTATATCTTCATCACGCCATAACCTAGTGCGCTTTCCAGGCTCTTTAGGTGATTGTTGGAAAATAATATACCACCCTAGTTCTTGTATCAAATCATGCATCAACAGCTTATTTCCGGAGATAGTTATAAGAGAATTTTTAACAAGAACATCTATTCCAATAATTGGGTGGAAGCCACAACTTTCTAGTATTTTGGTTATGTCATTTTTGTCCATCCCTTTGAAAAAACATGCAATATCTAAGAATATTTCCTGCTCTTGCCAATCCAATGCATCGTAACTTATTCTAAGTACTTCCTGAACTTCCTTCATGGGGCTTTCTTTTAGTCTTTTTAATGAACTTTCCCATTCATCTTTGTTTCGACCACAAAGAAAAGAACCTAAAACTTTGAGAGCTAAAGGAACTCCTTTAGCATACTTTACTGCACGACATACAAGCTCTCTATAGCCTCCCATTTGCTGGTGTTTTTGGAAGGCTTTCAATTCGAAGAGTTCTGTAGCTTCATCTTCTCTTAATTCCTCAACCTTATAAATATGTGTTATGCCATATCTAGTTAACGCACGTTGATTTCGAGTCGTTATAATGATTCTACTTCCAAAACCGAACCAATCATGCTCTCCTACCAATTTTTCGAGTTTGGTTAATTCATCCACATCATCAAGCACAATAAGAACTTTTTTACGGCATACCATGTTCCTTATCATATGTACTGCACGACCTTCACTTCCTACTTTCAAATCCTTTTCCATTAAGATTTCAGAAATGAGTTGTTCTTGCAAAGTTTTTAAACCACATTTTTTTGAAACTTCTCTAACATTCTCAATAAAGCTGTAACCTTCAAATTGGCAAGAGATACGATCATAAACAGCTCTAGAAATAGTAGTCTTACCTATTCCACCCATTCCCCAAATCCCTACAACACGAGCATCATCCACCCCTAAACCTAGCAATTTAATCACTTTCTCCATACGAGAATCCATCCCAACTAAATCTTCGCCAATGCTTGAATATGTATGACTTAATTTTCTAAAAAGTAACCCGACAACTTCTTGGATGAGCATTGATTCAGACCTGCAAATATAGGGGAATAGTAATAAATTTATTCATCAGAACTCAAAAGAGCTGTAAGAAGGAAAAATGTCATTAGTTTGGTCAAATGTGATTGATTTTACTCATTGCAATTGAAATCTATAAATTATATAAAGAAAATGGTGTTTCTAGTGAGGAATCTTGTGAGAGCTTCAATATCTCATACTAATTTTCTTGATTTTCTTAATTTTAGACAATTTAAAAAAATCTCCATTGGTTAGCTTTCATTTAACCATATAAAAATAAAACTCTAATTAGGTTATGATTTATTTGACAATTCCACATCAAGAAAAGAAGGAAAAAGTGAGATTTTTTACTCATATAAAGTGAATCTTATACTCCCATTTAATATTACAGTGATGTTCATGTTTCAATTCAATATAGTTTAAATTTTAAAATAAATTTAAAAAATTTAATTAATTAATTTTTTTGTAAGTTGGTTGGTCTTTTGACCTAGCCGGTTAGGCTGCATCATTTTTTATTTGACTAATTCGTTAGTTTAACTGTAATTTTAGCGATTTTTTCAAAATATATTGACTAAATTTGTTTGATTTGAAATAAACTAAAGATTAATCTAATTAAAGATTGAACGACTGAGATTGCTTGATTAGAAATAAACTTCCTGCCTAAATAATTGTTAACTTTTATTTCATAAACCCACATCGAAAAAGAAGGAAAAAAAAATGAGTTTTTCACTTATATAAAGTGAACCTTAATATTGTAGTATTGTGCATTCTTCAATTCAAGACAGTTTAAATTTTAAAATAAAATTAAAATAATATTTAAAAGTTTTAATTGATTAATTTTTGTGTAAGTTGCTCAGTCTTTTGACTTAACTGATTAGGCTGAATCATTTTCGGTTTGATTGATTCACTAATTTAACCGCAATTTTAGCGGTTTTATCAAAATATATTGGTTAGATGTTTGATTCGAAATAAACTAAAGATTGACATGATTAAAGATTGAACGACTAATTGCTAGATTAGAAATAAACTTCCTGCCCAAATAATTGTTAACTTTTAAAGAATCCCACATCGGGAAAAGAAGAAAAAAGTGCGGTGTTTCACTTATATAAAATGAACCTTATGCTCCTATTTAATATTGTAGTGTTGTACATGCTTCAATTTAAGAACCGTTTTTTGTTTGACTGATTCGTTGGTTTAAAAGCTGTCTTAGCAGTTTTATCAAAATATATTGATTAGATTTGTTTGATTCGAAATAAACTAAAGATTAACCAAATTAAAGATTAAATGATTGATATTGTTTGATTCGAAATAAATTTTCCACCCGAACAATTGTTAATTTTTATTTTATACAATCCCACATCAGGAAAAAAAGAAAAAGTGCATTGTTTCAGTTATATAAAGTAAACATATGCTCCTATTTAATATTGTAGTGTTGTGCATGTTTCAGTTGAAAATAGTTTAAATTTTAAAATAAAATAAAATAAAATTTAAAAGTTTTAATTAATTTTTTTTGTATAAGTTGGCAAGTCTTTTAACCGATTTTACTAACAATGGGGGATTGACCTATAAATCCCATTTGGCTGACTTGTGAACCTTCTAGTCCCAAATGTGTTGTAATACTCTTAAAAGTCCCAATATGATGTGATTTACGTTTTTGCCCATAAGGTATGATTTTTTTAAGTTAACCTATGAGGATTGCACATGTTGCGGGCCTACCACATTTGGGAAAACGCATTATAGTACTTTATTGGTTGGTACATTAGTTTCGGACTACCCACATCACCCACATCCTAGGTTGGGCCAAAACATATCCAATGTAAAAGCCCTCGGATCCACATCGATTTCGGAAGAAGCCCACATTGGTAATCAAGACATATAGACCATCAAACCACACTGGAACAGGTCATGAGCAACGGTCAAAAGGTCTTCTTGCCGTCGGATGATTGGTGAACACATTCCACATCGATTGCCAAGCGACAACCCCCCACACCCCCCATCGACGTGTCCATTGTCAAACATTCAATCTAGTTGTGGAAAACACAAAATTAAACAGTAAATTTCATTCTGATTCGAAAAATGCAAATTTTAGGGTTTTGCAGAAAATATATCGTATTTGATTTGGTCTGAAATCCCATATGTGAGTATTGGCATGGCAACCACATAATCGATCCACATTTGCAAATTTGTTTGCAATTTGTTTCCGGATTTGTAGGGATTCAATTGTCGGTGAATGGCGATGTAAGCGGTTTCGTAACCCACAGTGATTAGAAAGGAAACGTAGCCCTCAAATCCCACGAAATCAACGTCTATTTTGGAAAAAGCCCTACCGTAAGACGGGGTTTTGGTATTTGGAGGGTGGGTAACATTTGCGGGATGTCACGAACATTTGCTTTAATCCCACAACGAAATAGTTCTGCTAGAGTTGCTGTGTGAAGGTGTGAACCACCCTTATCCCAATGACGATGCCGAGGAACAGTGAGTATATGTAAAAGGTCTTTTATGTGTTTGGTGTCGTGTTTTTGAAATGTGGTTTGGTGGGTGTGTAGTTACTATATCCATGTTTTGCATTTAGGTGGAATGTACATGATGTAGTTCGAGGGTGGGAGGGGTTTGGTGTAGTTAATGTTAATGTTGTTAGGGGTGCTGCTGTGTGGTTAGGGGGGGTGGTGTATGGTATGTAGGATTGAATGTGGTGGGGTAAGGAGTGATGTTCCTTCCCAAATCAGAATCGTAATCAATGGGATTGCCATACCAAACAAGTAAGTTACCACACAGAAACAAGGGCAAAACAGTCACATAATCCACCCAAAATCAGCCAAATAGGATCTTCTGGGTAACATTACCAACAAAATGGGACTTCCAAGAGTATTAAAAATAAAGAAGGATCTCTTGGTCCAAAACCCATTTGGGGATTTTCCAATAATTTTTCCTTGTTTTATTTCTAAAAGGTATGTTTAAGTTTTATAAGAAACTTTAACAAAGAATAAACTAAAACTAAAAAATTTATAAAATGAAATTCATCAATATATATATATATTTTTTAATTTATTCTATTTTTTTCGTATTTACTAATTAAATTATGACATATATTTCTTATTGTAAACTTAAAATATACAATTAATAACATAACAGCTGCAATATATAAAAATTTTGCCTTACCGGTTGACCAGTCGGTTGACCGACTGGTCGACCAACCGATCGACCACTAAAAGGTTCAAAAAGTTCAAAAAAGTCAACAAAAAAAATTTTTGGCTTAACTGGTCGACCACCCGGTCGACCGGCCGGTCGACCACCCGGTCGACCACCAAAAGTTCAAAAAGTTCAAAAAAAAAGGTTCAAACCGGTAAAAAAAAAAAAAAAATTTTTTGCTGTTACCGGTTGACCGGCCGGTCAACCAACCGGTCGCCCAGCACAAATTTGATGAAACGGATTTGATGTTGAACCGTTGGAGCGCGAAGTATCAAATTAAAGAAATGACCCATTTTTTACTCAGATTTGGTGAAACATTTGGTACACCGTTGGAGATGCTCTAAGGTTGGTTTGGACTAAATTTTTTTGACTTTTTAAATTTTTTATGAGAAAAAAATAGAATAATTATAAATTAAATATAAAATTTTATCTTATTAAACTAAAAAACTTATTTTATTTATTTATTTATTTTAAATTTTTAAATTTTTTTTTATATAACTAAAATAGCCCATCCTCTTGAAAACTAACATACCAAACGGCTACATTATTTTATTGGGAAAAAAAAAGAAAAAAAAAGGCAAGTTACCTAATGATATTGGGATAAGGCCATCCTGATAAATTGGCAACTTGCTGCAAAGCATTCCTCCACCTTTGAACATTCTCCATTCCCAGAACTCCCTGTTTGGAAACCAATTCGTCAAATACCTCCCCAAAACTCCCTCTTTGCCTTCTCACTTCCGATGGATCCACATGATAGAATATCGGATAAACAGTTGTGTTGCTGCATTCAAGTGCCTCCACAAGTTCATCCAAACACCATCTCGAAGAAGCATAATTCTTCGATAAAACTATAATTGAAAACCTCGATTCTCGAATCGCACTCCGGAGCTCCGGCGAAATCGATTTTCCTCTCTGGTGCTTTTCATCGTCTTTGAAGGTGTGAATCCCCTTGTGAGCCAACGCAGTGTAGAGATGACTGACGAAGTTGTCGCGAGTGTCTTCGCCTCTAAAGCTCAAGAACACATCGTATGTGTATCGAGGTCGAGATGAAGCCATTGTTTAACTGATTGGTGTAAGAAATTACTAGAGATAATTGGGAATTTGATAACAGAGACAGAAACTAGGATCTCACTCTCTCTCTCGTTTTTTTTTTTTTTTTATGTGACTATCCTATTTACTGCAATACGCGTGTTGTCTTGCTTTCTTGGTAGGTGCTTATTGTTCCTCCGCTTCTTTGCTCTTTCCTGTTTACTGCAATTACGCGTTTTCTTTTCAACTGGCATTGAGCCTATTATTTTATTGTTACTATGGCTACTAATTGATATACTAATTAATATATTAATATATCTTATATTATTATTATTGATCATATCTGTTATATAAATTATAAATATTTAAAAAAATTTAAATTATATCATATTATCTATTAATACACTAATTAATATATCAATTGGTGTATATAATATTATTCTAATTTTATTAAATTTATAATTATTTTATTTAAGTTATATTCTTTTTATTATTTTATTTAAGTTATATCATTTTTGTTTATGTTATATTATTTTTTTATTATATTATTTTAATTTTAACTTATATTTCATTTTATAAATATCAAAAAATATATGAAAAATGAGTGAAACTCTCAATTATGGGAATTTCCATGACCCCCAATAATATGTGGACCAATAATGTATTTATGTAATTTTTTTTTTTTTTTTAGATCAATCACAGTTGAATAGAGGTTGTTAAGTTATATTCTTTTTTTGAGTGGATAACATTATTGAAAATATACTAGTTTGATACTTTTTACACAATCGAAAGGATTTAAAAAGATGAATGATTAAAAGAGAAAAAGCAAGAATTAAAAAAAATTCGTCGCATATCTATCTATACTCGTATATATTGAACAGTGTTTTTTCGCCCCCTATGAAATTACTTATTTACCCTTTCGTTCAACTTCCAAATTCAGCTACTTAGGAGATGGTATAAACAAAATAATATGAGGATATAAGAGTAATTTTGTTGTCTGCTGAATTCAGGGCAAAATTAGACAAAATGACTTTTTACCCTTATTTTTCCAATCTTCATCTGTTCGTGGTTATTGAAAATATATTAATTTGACACTTTCTAAACAATCAAAAGGATTTAAAAAGATGAATTATTAAAAGAGAAAAAGCAAGAATAAAAATAAATAAAAAAAATCGTTGCATATCTATCTATACTCATACATAAAGCGGGAGGTATTGAACAGTGTTTTTTCGTCCCCTATGAAATTACTTATTTACCCTTTCGTTCAACTTCCAAATTCAGCTACTTAGGAGATGGTATAAACAAAATAATCTGAGGATATAAGAGTAATTTTGTTGTCTGCTGAATTCAGGGCAAAATTAGACAAAATGACTTTTTACCCTTATTTTTCCTATCTTCATCTGTTCGTGGCTGATTCTGGTTCACATAATGCGGGGTAATTTCGGAAGGAAATATTACACGGAATCATCTCTTCATTCCATTGAATCAGCCATAGGAGAAATTATTCATTGCCCCAGGAGCATTGCTCCATTCCATTCATATTTAAGACAAGTATTAGTTGTCTCCACCAAAAGAGATAAACAAACAGTGGAACCCACTGTTTTCACGAATAACAGCCAGGTGGGAACACCACCTAGATTTGCCCCTGGGACAATGAATAATTTCTCCGGCCACACCTCTTAATAGTCTGTCTTTCCTTTGCTTTCTCTATTCTCCCTCTCAAAACGGGTAAATTTGAGATATATGTTTATTACAGTTCTCCTCGTCTTTTAAAAATTACATCTCTTTCTTGAGGTTTAAAATTTTATTATAAATTGTTTTCTCCAGCAATTTAATTTTTTTAAATATCAATTTTGTCCTTACTAGATAAATTACATTGACAACCCTCACATTTTAGAAATTATAATCCCTTCGCTAAGGTTTAAAATAACATTACCAATTGTCCCCTCAGTTAGTTTTAGTTGAAAAAAAATTCATTGAAAAAAAAAATAATTGGAAAAAAAATTAATTGAAAAAAAATTTTGTTAGTCAAATTTTTAAATTTCTATTTAAAAATCAACCTAAGATAAAAATTATATATTAGTTTTTATTTTTTATTTCTTAACCAAATTAGTTTTTAATTTTTAAAAAAAATTCTAAAAATCAAACCATTCATAGCCTAAAAATCTTTTGATAAGTCATTTACGTTGGTAACTTATTTAATTATTTGTTAATTTTACGATATTTTTACCATCTAAGGCCTGTTTGGTAACAATTTCGTTTTCAGTTTTCAATTTATATTTACAAAAATTTTAAAAATGTCATAAAAACTTATTTGATAATTTTTTTAGTTTATAAATGGTTGTCTCAGTTTATAAATTTGAAGAAAAACATAAATTCAAAAAATGAGTTTATGTTGGTTTTTAGACAAAAATTTAAAAATTTGACTAACAAAAAAAAAATTCAATTATTTTTTTTTTCAATTAATTTTTTTTTCAAATATTTTTTTTCAACTAATACTAACCAAGGAGGCAATTGGTAATACTACGTTAAACCTTGGGAAGGGGATTGTAATTTCTAAAATGTGAGGGGTGTCAACGTAATTTACCCAGTGAGAGCAAAATTGGTATTTAAAAAAATTAAATTGCTGGAGGGAGCAATCTGTAATAAAATTTTAAACCTCGGAGAAGAGAATGAAATTTTCAAAAGGTAAGGGGAAAACTGTAATAAATGCAAACCTCAGAAGGTGTCAATATAATTTACTCTCTCAAAACCCGTCAGAATTTTTCGATCTTCAATCGAAGCGATGACAGAATGCAAACTCAACCCCATTCAGCTTCCTATTGAAAACATTGAGTCTCAAACGGAGTTACGATTTTTGGATCTGAAACGGAATCGCGATTGATGGCTACTTAGTTAATTTGCCTTTCTTAATTTTTTTTGGGTTTGTTTTTGGCTTTCTTTTTTCAAGATTGTGGCGTTGCTTTTGAAAGTTTAGATAATAGGCAACATAATTTTTGGATAAGTATATCAGCTACTCTCTGTTTCTATCTGATAATCTAAAATTTTTAAATTTAAAAAAAAAATAAGTTATTTAAATATATATATATATATATGAAGTGAAAATTTTATGCACCCAGAAAAATGGTCACATCATGAATGCTTGTTGGCCTTTCATTTTAGGTTATGGGTAATTTCTCTCTCTCTTTTTTTTTTTTTTTTTTATGGTGTTTTGGAGAGGGGAGAGTTGGGGGGTTTATAGTGTTGTTGAAAATGAAGAGGAGCCTCGCTAACCATCCATTATTCTGTGTTCGGTTCTAATCCAAAGTTGGCCATGAACATTTTAGAGCTAATTAATCGTTAATTTTTTTGAATAATAACTCACAATCTATGAACATCTTATCTTAACAGATACTCATCTTAACCATTATTTAATCATTCAAAAACTAGCGAATCAAAGGGATGTTAATTTGTTGTTGATTCTCGAAGGGAAAAAATTACTTCTAATATCAGTAGTAATACCATACCAATTTCAAGTTCAATTTAAACACATGTTTTTCTTTTTATTCCTAAACTATTTTACAATTTGCCATTTTTCTCTATATATAATCTTCCTCCCAAATCTTTTGTGCATCTGCTATATAGTCAAGTTCATTGCATTACTAATTTCCACTTTTGAATGGTTAAAAATTGGAATTTTCTATACCAATATTGGTTGACGCTTTCTATTTTCATTTCTTTTGGCTCACTTTTTGAATTAGTAAGCTTAGAGAGTTTTTTATTTTTTTATTTTTTTTTTATTTTTTTGTTTTTAATCTCGTGTTTGGTTAAAGCATTTGCTTATTGGCTTCAATGTCCCCAGGTACAACTTTTTGGATGTTACATTGTTTTTTGGGGAACTTACTGATAAGTCCCATGTAACAAGTTCAAAACCCAACTAATCCCAAAACAAAATACTTGCACCAATTAGTCCAACACATTTTTAATTGTTACCAAAAAATCTTTTTTTTTTAAAAAAAATTTATAGACACTGTTCACATCTTACTACCGTCGGACTTCCGTTTAACGGTCGCCGGAGACTCACCGGAATGTCTAGAATTTTGCCGGAAAAAAAAAATTAAAAAACATGTTATGAAACTGTAAAATTTTACAGTTCTAAAGAATGTTATAAAACTGCAAAATTTTACAGTTTTAAACCATGATTCATTCCAGCACCAAAAAAAAAATTTGAAACTGCAAAATTTTACAGTTTTCACCGCCTGTAACTAAAACTCGAAAACTGCTTGTTCAGAATTCGAAAATTTTCTCCATTAGAACAGAAAAACAGAAGTGTATAGCAGAGAGAGGAAAAAAAAAAAAAGAGATCGAAGGGGAAAGACGAATGTCTAACCAAATCTGTGTAGATCTACTCAGATCTGATGTAGATCTGAGTAGATCTATATCAGATCTAAGTAGATCTATTCATCTTCTTCGTCGGAAAATATATCATCTTCTTCGTCGGAGTTGATTTCAATGCTTGGTGGTTATCAATGAACCCCGATCAATGGAGAAAGATATGATCACCGGTGGTTCTCTTCTATGACAAACACGGTGACAGAAAAATGTAGAAAAAAAAACGAGAGAGGAAGGGAAGCAAAAAGAAGAGAGAGAGAGAAAAGGACTTTTGGGTGTAGTGAAAAAGTTATGGGATTAAATGGAGATCACATGTTTCCCATGGGACCTATGGGTAATTTCCCCTTGTTTTTTATACATTGCATACACTCTTACTCCTGAGAAACACAACATTTAAAATTGATTTTCGAAAAATGTTAGAACTATGACCAATTTTTTATTGGTTGCAATTGTATAATCCCCAAGTACAAGTTTTTGGGTGCTATAAGGTTTGAGAGCTTGCGAAAGCAAGAACTTGGAATCTATAAGTCTTCATGCAATTCTAAACAAAACAACTTATCATATGGTAAATAAAGAAAGACTCTCAACAGTTAAGATGATGAATATTAATGGACATTTTTTTTTATTATTCTTAATGATCTCATTAAGAAGATAAATTCAAATGCCTCTTATTTAAAATATCCAATTTTCATATGTATGAAGAAATTCTTATAAACTGCAATAGAGGGCCCGCGATTCATGATGTTGGGGATCGGGGATCCCGCCCAAGACCTTCCAGAAATTATACCAAGCAGAAAAACACACCCATACTCAAGGAGACACCATATTTAACGTGGTTCGGCCTCAATGCCTACGTCCACGGGAGAGTAACCGGTTATCACTATAACAATGGAGAGATTACAGAAAGATTACAATATAGGAGGAGCTCACACTATCCTCACTTAGCCACTCTCCCGTCTCCCTCGCTCACACCGAGAGAGACAGTCTTTCTACCTCACATCTCTCACTCTCTTGGTTTGTTCTCTCTCTCAGTTTTTCTCACAATTCAACCCCTCCTCCTCACCTCAATTTATACATAATTGAGGGATGTTCTGATTGGTCACCACCTACCTCCTTCCATTAGCTCTATCCACTAGCTAGTGGGGTAGGTGGAGTGGGAGAACCACCTTTGGTTGATATCTAACAAATCACCCCCTTAACCCATGTGAGGTGATCCACAATAGCACCCACTGCTGCTAATCTTGTCACGTCCAAATTTCAGCATAGTCTGTATCTTCTCATTGAGACATTTGCATCCCTTGAAGCTAGAGATAACACACAAGAGATACAAGAGGAGAAGGGAATCCTACATCCTCAACTCAACTCACACCACTCTCTGATTTGGAGAAAGCCTCTGCTTCTATCTCCCACATCTCTTCCATGCTTCATGTCTCGGATGTCTTCACTTGCTACGCTTGAACATGCCCAACCAAGATATCCTGCACCACCTAATTGGATGTCCTGCACCCCCTGCCAAGGATGCCCTTGACTGACATGCATCACCTCGTATGACCAGTCATTGGAGCAACAGAAAACTCGTCGTTTGTCCCGTCAATGTCCTCAATTTTCTTTTGCTCGGAGCTTTTCCTCTGAACTATCAACATTTTCCCTCTGCACATCTGAACAACCTTCTAGCGTTCCCATAAGCTTGTCGTCTATGCCTTTCACTATAAGAAAAAGCATCTTTGGCGACTAAAAAAGCAACTTTGGTTGCTGAAAGTATAGGTTTTGACAACTAAAAAAAGCATTAGTAGCCAAAAGTAAAGATTTTTGGCGACTAAAAAAATTTAGTAGCCAAAGTATAGGTTTTGGCGACTAAAAATCTATTTGGTCGCCGATATATGAATTTTACCGACTAAAAAAATTTTAGTAGCCAAAAGTAAGTTCCTTTGGCGACTAAAAAAAATTTAGTAGCCAAAAGTGAGGCATTCGGCGACTAAAAACATGTTTGGTTGCCAAAAGTAAGGCTTTTACCGGCTAAAAAAATTTTAGTAGCCAAAAGTGAGGCCCTTTGGCGACTAAAAAAAATTTAGTAGCCAAAAGTGAGGCATTCGCCGACTAAAAAGATGTTTGGTCACCAAAAGTGAGGCTTTTACCAACTAAAAAAAAAATAATAGCCAAAAGTGAGGCATTGGGCAACTAAAAAGATGTTTAGTAGCCAAAAGTGAGGCTTTTTGGTGACTAAAAAGAAGTTTATCGCCAAAAGTGGTAATTTTAGCGCGGGAATTTTATTTTTTAACGACTAAAAAATAATTAGTAGTCAAAAGTATAGAATTAGCAACTAAAATTATGTTTAGTCGCCAAAAGTGGTCTCTTTTTTTCTAGTAAATAATTTATTTTTACATAAATTATGTTCAATAAAAAATAATTATCTTTATATATATACTTTTATATTAATACGGGTCTATGTACTATATAAATAATATATGTTGCATATATAATCATATGGTATTATAGAGGTGTAGTGGAAAGAGGGTGTTGTATAAGGTTTATGGTATGGGAGGTTGATGGTTTGAATCTCCACAAGAGCAGAGTGTAATTTTTTTTATTTTCACGAATGAGCTTTTGGCGACTAAAAGGTTTGGTCGTGGATTCCTTGAGTATTGGCGACTAAAACATTGGTTGGTAAATGTATAATTTAAAAATATATAATTGACTATTAGCGACCAATAATTTAGTAGCCAAACATTTAGTTTTGTCGACCAACTAAAATTTAGTAGCTAAAAGGTAACATTGCCGACTAAAAAAAATAGTAGCCAAATGTTTCACTTTCAGCAACCAAACACACGTTTAGTCGGTAAAACAATCGCCGACAGGGTTTAAGCGGCTAACTTGGCGACAAAAAAATTTAGTCACTAAATGGTATCAGCAACTAAAAAAGCGACCTTTAGCGACTAATATTTTGGTCGGCAAAACTGTTATTTCTTGTAGTGTTTGCAATCCCAAATTTGTTGTTCAGTAGATTGATGGTTGACAGTAGCTCCATCTGTCAAAGCATCGTCAACTTTGCAATTCCTTGCATAGTGCTCGCATCCATGGCTTCTGGTCTACTTGCGTCGAGCTTGCCTGAGAGATCCGCATCAACTCTATCCTCTGCTGTCATGGAACTAAAGAAACCACCATAGAGAAAAGAGACTTGCCACTCTTTGGCGCGCACTCTTGCGTTTTACTCATCTCAATTTCTCTGTTTGGAAGTTCCTGTGAACTGTCAATAACCCGTTGCTACACACTCTCCTCGCGCCTCTATACGACACTTTAGCGTACCCTTGCACTGTTGCACGTCAGCATTTGTGCTTCTGTGCTTAGTATGCTCCTCTGCAACCATTGTTTTACACATCCACATACCACCAGCACCTACTCGTATACAGTAGCTCCAACAGCCACAGCATTTCCCTGAGCATGTACTTATTGCCAAATCATCTGTACGTTAATGAATGGTCTTTTCTTCTAATTGAACCAGATCTTCTGATGAACTTCGGAGATAATCATCTCTGTAATCCTCTGATCGCCCTTAACCAATCCTGATCTCCCTCGATCTGCCATTTGATCAAGCCTGATCTCCTTTGGTCTCCAATGATCTATCTTGATTTGTATCTGGTTGTCCAATCTGGTCAGAATTTGCCCATTCTAACATCTTCAGTGAATCCGCAGCGTTCCACAATATCCGACAACCTTCCTTTGACTATTGAAGATGACAAACTCCCATGATTTGACAAACTTTAAAAATCGTTCAGAATTTCACTATTCTGACCTCGCAGTTGCGTCCGGAATGGTCCATTTAGCTAGGACCAACCTTTGTTGCACTTCTGGGGACCTCATTGAAAACTTTTCCCAAAAGTTGGGCCACACCACAATTTTTTGAAAATTTTGGGCCAAATTGTAATTTTTAGAAAGTCAGAAAATATTTCGTGTTCCAACAGAATATTCCATCTACTACACCTGACACCATCTGCCATTTTGATCTTCTTTTTATAGAAAACTCTGATTCAAAAATCGGACCGTACGGATGTATCTGAAATACTCCAAATAGTTGGAAAACACTATTGGATTGTCAAAAATGGACTCCAAATGGGTCACAGCGAGCCAAAATAGTTTCGACGCCTCAGATCTACGGCTGCACTTTAGCCGCAAAGCACTGGATCGCTCTTCTGCGTGCTGACGTGACAGATAATGTGGCACTAACTGTGTTGACATGGCGCTGATGTGGCACACTAACGTGTCAGTGACGTCACTCGCATGCGCGCCATGCTCTCCTTCTTCCTCCGCTGTGCGTCTGGCTCGTGGCCGCGACTAGGATGATGTGCTGATTCTGTTAACGGCGTGTGTGGCACATGTTTGAGAGTGGGACTCACGCGCCTACTTCAAGTGGCACGTGGAGGCTCCTTTTGGGCTCTGCTTTGTAGTTCTGGACTCCTCTCGTCGAGGCCTTGCTCCTGGTATGCTTAAAACCTGATTTCGAGCAATTTGATTTCTGGATAGTTTCGAAAAACACTCTATTTTTGTTCCGAAAATGACAGACGAGGCTCTGATACCACTTGTTGGGGATCGGGGATCCTGCCCAAGACCTTCCAGAAATTATACCAAGCAGAAAAACACACCCACACTCAAGGAAACACCATATTTAACGTGGTTCGACCTCAATGCCTATGTCCACGAGAGAGTAACCGGTTATCACTATAACAATGGAGAGATTACAGAAGGATTACAATAGAGGAGGAGCTCACACTATCCTCACTCAGCCACTCTCCCGTCTCTCTCGCTTACACCGAGAGAGACGATCTCTCTGCCTCACATCTCTCACTCTCTTAGTTTGTTCTCTTTCTCAGTTTTCTCACAATTCAACCTGTAGAGACCCTAAATTTTTTTTTATTACACTTGAAAACCCTGAGCCTTAGGTTAATAGCATTTTAACCCTAGTCCCGTAAAAATCTGTGTAAGGGCCCAAGTAAAGAATAATTTCTCTGTGTGTTACCATAATTAAATCATAGAACACCACTTTATGATTGGAACTATCCTAAAACTTGGTTTTATTTATTTACCTCATAATTTCTAAATTAATTCACACATTTATTCTTATTTCTAATTTTTTTTATTATTGTTCTTTCATTAATTATTTATTTGAATGGAATATTATTGTGTACTTGAATATATACATAGTTTATATATATATAATATTGGTGGAAGAGTGGGTTGATAACAACAAAGAAGTAAATAAATAAATAAATAAATAAATAAATATCTAGATATTTAGTCCCTTAGCCATTAAGCTACCTATATTATATAAATTGAGAGTTGGTCCCAATCCACACCCACGTTTTTCATCAGCTCAAGGAGAGGGTGAGAGAGGGAGAGTTTGCTCAAGGGAAGTCAAGGGGAGTAGAGAAGTGAGAAGAAAAAAAAAAAAAAAGACTTCTTGAAGGTAAAAATACACCTCTCCCTTGTCTTCTCATATTTTTTTTCTTTACCCATCTCATCCTATTGTCCAGATGCTCCCTTGGGTTATGTATTAATGGTAAATTGAGTTTTTGGTGTATATGCATGTGTGGGTGTGAATTGGTGACATTGTCTTACAATTTTATTCAAAATATGCACTGCTGCAATTTCTAATATTTAAAAGAAATATCAAACCTGTCTATTTCTCAAATCTGAATTTATTGTAAGATATTGGTGTGTTTAGAGCTTGTGACAATTTTATTAGCCCTAATTGTGTGTTTTTAGGGCTTGGGATAATTTGTTGAAAATCTGGTCCTAAATCTCTGAATAGTCCACTTTAGTAATTTTATAAAATTCTAGAAAAAATCATCTCGTGTTGGTTCTTTTGTCAAAATTTGAAATTTGAGTCCTCTTTCAACAGATTTTATTTGAGTGAAAACCATCAGGTAGATAGAAGAAACGCTAGTTTTTCCAATGGGTGACAAATCTGGACAAGTTTTTGTAATATAGCTTGTGGATGAATTTCTGGAGGTGCTATGCACATTCTGTGAATTGAATTGAAACTAGACAGGTTAATTATATATTTCTGTGCAATTTCAGCCCCTAATTCGACCTAGAAGTATTTTTACCAAAAGCGTTCTTGTTAGGCCCCTGGAGCGAAACCGCAACGGATGCTGCGGAAATTGTTGTTCTACTATTGTGATTTTGTCTCTTAAGTGTTCAGCCTTTTTAATGTTATTTCTCGCTTAACTATACTTCTGTACTTATGTATGTATGATGGTCATGGACTATATTTCCTCTAGTATGTTTTTCCCATACTCGTTTAATTGACCAAATTACCGAATGTGACTAACTCACCTAGCAAAAGATCTAATAAACGGGAAATAATTAGGGGTTGGCAATGGGTGACGTTTATCTTAGTGTTTTAGAACAATTTTATACATATGCATGACATGAATTATGATGGGGTTAATACCAAATGAGTTAAGTCTTGCATAAGCAGTTTAAGCGAGCCCCTAGGTTGACCTGGATGTATTCAGGCTCTATGCGGCGGTTTCAGGGTGTAAGCGAGCCTTTTGGTATGGTATGTGCAGGGTGTAAGCGAGCCCTTTGATATGGTATGTGCAGGGTGTAAGCGAGCCCTTTGATATGGTATGTGCAGGGTGTAAGCAAGCCCGAGGCACGATTTGGGTGTAAGCGAGCCCACTTGTTGGCCGTCCCTTTTGAGGTCCATCAATGCCACTGACAGGTAAATAATCGGAAGGTGGGCATAGGTGGTAAGGTCTGCAAAGCAGCAAAAGGGGGAGTTCTGAATAGTCTGGTGTTCAATCCTTGTGGTTTGGTGGAAGGATCTCTTTGGGGGGTCCTAAATGCCTAGTCTAACTACTGATTTATAAAACCTTAATGTAAGTATGTTATGTTACTTGATTTGTTTTGTGTATGATTGATTGATAGAAGATATGGGGGTGTGTGTGTTTTTACTGAGCATTCCAAGCTCATGGCGTGTCATGCCAGGTGAAGAAGTAGCTTACGACGGGAAAGGTTATCCCGAAGACAATCAAGATGAAGTTTTAGAGCCGTGGTTCACTTGAAAATTAGACTAGTAGTTGTTTTTGTGTCCTCTCTTCTTTTACCTTTTGGTTTGACAATATTTGTAAACCTCTAGTGGAACTCAAATCAGTTATCCATGTTATAACTCCGCTTGTATGTGTATATTAACGTATTGCGGTTATCTATTTTGTTTGAGTTGTACTTCATATATTTCTCTTGCGGTCTCAAATTTTGTGGCGTGACAAAACCCCTCCTACTCACCTCAATTTATACATAATTGAGGGATGTTCTGATTGGTCACCTACCCCCTTCCATTAGCTCCATCCACTAGCTAGTAGGGTAGGTGGAGTGGGAGAACCACATTGGGTTGATATCTAACACATGAAGCAACTCTTGGGAAGCATTTCGAAGAGAATCTTATTTTTGATTATATTTCTTTTCAGCAAAAGCTATGCACATGATAGATTATATTTGTTTTCAGATTATATTTGTCTGTCTAAACTGAACTTAAATTACACTTTGAACTTTTGTATATGTAATGTAGCAGACACTACAGTTCATGATGTTCACATATTGACAATTGTTATTTTGGTTGAGCATGTTACCATTCACATTTTCTATCATCTTCTTTTATTAAATATAAAGAAAGGTCTAAAAATTCTGAATTTTCTTTTATTGGTAACAGTATTTATCAAATCAAACAACCAATTACAATTAACAACAATTTTACATCTTATAATGGTCTTTCATTACGAGCATTAGACTGTCTCACTAGTTAGCAAATAATCAGCCAAACACGACCCAGTGGTAGGAATGGTCCCTGACCACCATTTTGTGCAATTTATCTAAACTGTAATTTGACTAAACATGTAACTACTTTGATTAAGATGCTCTTATAGTTTTTTATTTTAAGAGTTTGTGTGTTAGACTATTTGTTGCAGATTTTACTTATAATTTATTAGACATAAATCAACTATCTATCTGCTATTATTTTAAAAGTTTGAATAAAACTGAGTGTTTTCTACTTTTTACGTATTCCAAAAATATCCTCCCAAAGGTATTGATTTAAATTAAACCACTACATCATGTACAAAAGTCATGAAGAGTCCTATATAAACTAATTTTCTTTTCTTTTCTTTTCTTTTTTCTTCTTAACATTAACATTAACATTTATTTACTTATTTAACACTAAAAAACGAGCAATTTTCTATTCATCTCCTTCCAAAAGTTCTATAGCAAACATGTCTCCCTATTTTTTGAATTCATTATTGAACTATAAAATCTTTCAGACCGATGTGAATATTTTGGGTTGAATCTTAGAGTTACTCATTTGTTCGAATCTACACAAAAATACTGTGAATGTTTTGGATTAAATCTTAGAGTTGTATACATCTATTCAAATCTACGTAGAAGGAGATGCATCCGGTTTCGTACTGTATCTCAGGAATTCACAGGCTATTTTTATATACTATCTCTTTGTTTAAATTTATAGAACTGTATTATTTTGCATTGCACTTTAAATAACAATCACTTTCTTTTTTAAAATTCTAAATAACAGTCACTTTCTTCGGTTTAATTTTTGAAAACTACTTTTCAATTTTGGATTTTTCATATTTTTGATTGATTGATTTTCATATTTTTTTCATTCTTATTGATTAGTGATAGTGAAATTTCTTCATATTTTATATATAATAATACTTTTTAGATGTATATACAATCTAAATATAATTAAAAAGCATAATATTTGTAAAAAAATTACTAAATACAAATAAATATGAACATATACTGATTTTTCGTATTTTATACATATTTTCTTGTATTTAAAATATAATAATATTTAACATTAAAAAAATTTAAAAATAAAAAAATAAATTAGTTTCTAAATGTATTTAGATTAAAAATTATATTATATTGATAGCAATAGCGATGGGAAGAAAAGAGTCCTAATAGAGCCATTAAAGGATAAGATTTGACGATATCTAAAAGTTATTCTTTGTAAACTTTTTCCTATTGATATAAATCAATAAGATATCCAGAATAGTATTTAGAATTTTACATAAATACTAGTTTAAATTTATTCTATATGTGAATCCACCATACACCAATTGAATCTCAACCACACCTCTTCATCCATGACAATTTTCTTGCTTTGAATTCATTCTACATGTATATTTCATAATACTCTAATTAAATCTCAACAATACTTCTTGATTCATGACAATTTTTTTCACAAATTTTCATAGTAACTAAACTTTTTTATATATAGAATTTGTATAGCGATTCCGGTTTTTGACCCGGCTTTGGTTGTATTCCGGACTCGGGTCTCGTGGTTTAATATTGGTATTTATACCTTTTCCTCTTTTCTCCCTTTGAATTTGAGTATTGGAACGTCTTGGACGCGTTTGGATCAAGTTGGTTGTTAGTTGGTCTAGAGTGAAGTTGCCCAGATTTTGGTTTCCTCACTCGAGTGATGCCTCGCTCAAGCTTGGTGATCTCTCAGTATTTCTTTCAGTCTTGTAGAGTTTCTGGGAGGGTGTTGTTGTTCGCTCGAGTGAGAACTCTTGCGCTCGGGCGAAGGCCTTTGGGGTTGTTGTTCGCTCGAGTGACGGTCTTCTGTCTACAAAACTTCTGGGGATTTGTATTCTACGCTCGAGCGACTCTTCTTGCGCTCGAGCGAGGACACTTTTTGTGTCTAGTCGCTCGAGCGACAACTCCTTCGCTCGAGCGAGTCTCGCATACAGTGGCGGAGGCAACAAGGGACGAGGAGGGTCACGTGCCTCTCCTGAATTTTGGGAAATTTTTTTTTTTTTTTTTTATAAAGAAAGAGAGTGATTATTGATTTAATGGTTAAGACTTTGCCTAATAACTTGAAGGTTATGGGTTCAAGTCTTGGGACCACCACTTTGTGTATTTTGTCAAAGGTTAGGTGTGTACTCAATTTTTCTTCTCCCAAACACACATTAATGTGTACTAATTGGGCGTTGTTGTTGTTGTTTTGTTGCAAATATAAAGAAAATATTTTAAATAAAAAAAATTACAAAAATATTATTAGAGTGAAATGTCAATGACATTTTAAAAATTATGAGAACAATAATGGTGTTTTGGAATGAAAATGAAGAGACTATTATAAACCATATCATCTATGAAAATTTTATAAAAATTTTTGAATGTAACAGTGATGTCATTATTATTGACATGCAAGTATAACTAATCTCACTATAAAGATATGAAATTTATTAGATTGTTAGTTACATCTAACATGTGAGGTCCACTCTCTATGTGTTTATTTATTATTAATTAGTGATATCACATACTAATGATGACGTGGTATTACCATTATATTGAATTTTTAATCAAATTCTGTATAAATTTTTTTTTATCATTATATAATTTATTTTAAGACTTATATCCATATTTTTTTATATTGTCCATGATATATTAGTTATAAATAACATTATTTTTTTTTATGTTCCTCGAAGTCAATCGTAAAAACTTACGTTAAATATTTTTGTAAAATTTATCAATAATATAATTAATAAGTGCCTCCTCTAATTTGATTTTCTGGTTTCGCCACTGCTCGCGTATATCAGTTCGCAGCAACATATTTTTACATCACTTTTTATGATCTTTTCACTCAGAAACCCTAATCCGGCTCACTCTCTCTCTAAAATCCACTCTCTCTCTACATGTGGAGCAAGATTCTTTGATCTCTCAACCCTAGTTCTTTTGTTGAAAAGATAGAGCATCTTGTGGGCTTCCATTTAATCCGAACAAAGTCGAGTGTTGGTGTCTTTGAAGTTCTTCCTTTTCTCCTTTAGACTTCTACTCTTGAGATAGGGATATTCTACACCTTAATATAGTTTTTAACCTAGATATTATGTAACGGCCCGTATTTTATTACTCGGATAACTTTACCAATATTCATTATTTAAGTCCATTTACAAATAACATTTTAACCTTGGATGAAATGATGAATAATTAAATATGCATATTCCCTCTTGTTATACAACAATGACATTTACATACAAATAAAAGAAATGCTCCGAGGCTTACAATAAAAGAGAGGACACTACTCTTTACAAAAAAAAAAAAAAAAATAGCACTCAGGCAAACAATAAATGAAGTACTATAATCCATCACTACATTACACTTATGAAATGGCAAAACCCATTGTTTGATCTTCAAATCCGAAAAGCATTCCATGTAGACATGTACAGGCAAAGGGTGAGCAACCACTAGCTCACCAAGCAATCTCATTTTAAAACATTAGAAGATATACAGGTACCAAAATACTTGTACATATACGTGAAATCATATCATGTCAAAACCATATGATTTTATTACATAACCTCTTAAATCTAATTTATTTAATTAACCACAACAAGTTAACCTTAAATAAATAAACATGTTTTAATAGCAACAGGACATCATTTTCAATTCATTCAATTATCTCATTATCAATTGAATCAAATAATTAAACAATTTATCAAATCCATTTTATACAGTCTTATGAGATGAATGCATATATAGTTCCCGATCTCAGAAAATTATGAAATTTTTATATGTTGTTCCTGTATGAGTCTGGCACGTTAGATAAAAATTTCAGAATTAAACGATGAGTATTTATTTTATGAAAATTCACGGACTGATTGGTGTTCAGTTTAATTTATAACAGAATTTGAAATTGAGTTTGGGTGTTCAGACCAGGATTTGAGATAAATTTGTTGGGACTATTTTGGTATATAATTAGACCATGTTTGACTTATGGGTGAGACCCATGATTTAGATTTAATTTAATTTGAGTTTATTTAATGACTCGTGTTTAACTGTTTGGTCCTTTTTAATTAAGTGATTAGTAGTAACCACCTTAGGAGTTGTTATTATTTATTATATAGGATTATAATAAATATTTGATATTTGATTTTATGGTGTGTACCATATGGCGAAAAATTATATATTTTATAAAGAATGAAAATGTATATATTTCGTAGTGCTTAAAATATTATATTTTGTGGTGAGAAAAATTATGTCATTTTATAATTTATATTATAAAATTTTTAGGTATTATTACAAAAATTATATTTTTTGGGAAAAATCAAGCTTTGGGAAACAAACCCATGTAGGTGGCCCCCATTTTTGTCCTTGCCATCATTTCCCCTCCTTTGATTTCCCTCATTTCTTTTCC